AAAAAAAAAAAAAAAAAGTTGAGAAAAAATTTAAAAATTAAAAAAAATAAAATAAAATACACATCTATCATTTAGGCCTTCCTTAAAATAAATTATGCCCATTGCTCTTTACATGAACTGATAAGAAAATGAAAGATGTACAAAGTGATATTTCCTAACTTTTTGCATGGAAAGGCAGCATAGCATAGTTAGGAGGAGTGAAGAGTCCCTGAAGAATTCTGGGTTCAGGCTCTCTGGATCTTGGAACTGCCACTTGTTAGCTGGCAGCCTGGGGAAAGTTGTTTGTTTTTTTTTTTTTTTTTTTTTTTTTTTTTTTTTTTTTTTTTTTTTTTTTTTTTTTTTTTTTTTTTTGAGAGAGTTTCAGTCTTATTGCCTAAGCTGGAGTGCAATGGCATGATCTTGGCTCACTGTAAACTCTGCTTCCTGGATTCAAGTAATTCTCCTGCCTCAGCCTCCCGAGTAGCTGGGATTACAGGCGTGCACCACCACACCCAGCTAATTTTTTTGTGTTTTTTAGTAGAAACGGGGTTTCACCATGTTAACCAGGCTGGATTCAAACTCCTCTGACCTCAGATGATCCACCCACCTTGGCCTCCCAAAGTGCTAGGATTACAGGCGTGAGCCATAGCGCCTGGCTTTGGGAAAGTTGTTTAAACTCTCCGCGTTCCGTTTACTCATCTCTAAAGGGGGCAGAACAAAGGCTCTACCATGAGGTCGTCCTGAGGACTGAATGAGGTGATGCACATAAAAAGCTTAAAACAGTGATGACGTCTCTAAAAGCAGATAGCAAACATGCGCGTCATGTCTGATAACCTATTACAGACACCCAACTCATACTTGAACCCGGGACATTAGACTCCCATCTCTTTTCCACCAGATCAGACTAAACTTCGTCATCCATTTTGGCAGGAACGTGCTAACATTTTTGCCCTGCAGGCACGATGTGCCCTCTGTGCAGCTCTCTTCCGCGTTTCCATGGCTGCGCTTCTTTTTCCTGCGTAACTGAAAACCCCAACTGCAGAGGCAGGTTTATTTATAGCTGAAAAATTAGTGTTATTTAGCTGGAGCTTTTCTGCAACCATCAGTCCATTACTGTAAAAGCATCCACATTTACATTGCAACTTCCTTCTGTTTTCCCAGTGCCCTGTAATCCTTAATTCGCTCGCTACTCAAAACAATGTTTATTGAATGTCTATAGAGAGAGAAACTTGATCCAGCATTTTTACATCCGAAACCAGCATCTTCCCAGAGCTCAGATTCTCACATACCAATCGCTTCCTAGACAGCTCTCCATGGAGGTCCCACAGCACTTCAGATGTGGCCAAAGTGCAACTCACCATCTTCCCCTGTCCTGCCATGGGCTCCTAGTTTTGGTGAATGGAGCCACCATTCCCCAGTCCCCCATGCCAGATCCTGGCAGTTGCCCCAGATTTCCCTCACATACTATCACATTCCATCTGCCACCAGGCTCCATCAGTCCTGTCAGCTAAACCCACACCATCCCTCTCAACTCCCCAACACTCTACAAGGTAGTATTTCTAGACTATTGAAAACCATCTTGGCCCAGTGTGGTGGCTCACGCCTGTAATCCCAGCACTTTGGGAGGCTGAGGCAGGCAGATCACGAGGTCAGGAGTTCAAGACCAGCCTGACCAACATGGTGAAACCCCGTCTCTACTAAAAATACAAAAATTAGCTGGGCGTGGTGGTATGCGCCTGTAATCCCAGCTATTCAGGAGGCTGAGGTAGGAGAGTTGCTTGAACCCGGGAGGCAGGGGTTGCAGTGAGCAGAGATCGCACCACTGCACTCCAGCCTGGATGACAGAGCGAGGCTCCACCTCAAAAAAAAAAAAGAAAGAAAGAAGAAAACCATCTCGGGACTGGTCCTTCTTCCTTCAGTCTCCTGTTCCTCTAGTCCCCTCTCATATTGCTGTTACATTGATGTTTTGGACTCTGATCATGTTATACTCCCCTAACCATCTGAAATCCTTCCATGTCCCCCATTACCCACAGGATGAAGGCCCTGCTCTAAATCATGGCTTGGGAGGCTCTTCACACTCTCAGCCCTGCCTTCCTCACCAGATGCATCACCTGCCATCCCACATAGCTATTTTTCTTTTTGCTTTTCTTTTTTTTTGAGACGGAGTCTCACTCTGTCGCCAGGCTGGAGTGCAATGGCACAATCTCGGCTCACTGCAGCCTCCGTCTCCCAGGTTCAAGCAATTCTCCTGCCTCAGCCTGCTGAGTAGCTGGGACTGCAGGTGTCCACCACCACACCGAGCTAATTTTTGTATTTTTAGTAGAGATGGAGCTTCACCATAGACTGGTCTTGATCTCTGAGGCAGGAAAGAATCACTTGAACTTGGGAGGCAGAGGTTGCAATGAGCCAAGATTGTGCCACTGCACTCCAGACTGGGAGACAGAGCAAGACTCCATCTCAAAAAAAAAGTAATGCAAGCAAAAAGACTATTTCTTTTTTTCTTTTTCTTTCTTTCTTTCTTTTTCCTTTTTTTTTTAACAGGGTCTTGCTTTGTCACCCAGACTGAAGTGGAGTGATGCAATCTCAACTTATTGCAACCTCTACCTCCTGGACTCAAGCGATCCTTCCACCTCAGCCTCCAGAGAGCTGGGACCATAGGGGGCCACCACCACCCCCAGCTAATTTTTTTTTAATTGGATACAGGGGTTTCACCAAGTTGTCCAGGCTAGTCTCGAACTCCTAAGCTCAAGCTATCTGCCCACCTCAGCTTCCCACAATGCTAGGATTACAGACATGAGCCACTGCACCCTGCCAACTATTCCTTAAAGGCATGACTCATTGCCAAATGAGAGGTTTGGACCGGAAGTTCAGAGAAGGGAAAGAAGGGTTGGGCCTCCAGGGTGGACTGATCCATAGGAGGCAGAGACCAGAAACAAGGCTCTCACTGGACAGACTGGACCAGCAAGATGGAGGGCATGGTGGAGGCATGGGGGTGACTCTTGGTAGAAAGAAAGCCTTTGGAATTTGGGACTGGGGTTTCTGTTCTGACATTTATTAGTTAGAGATCTCAGGGATTTTTTAAAAAATCTTCTCTGCACCTCAGTTTCCACCTGGGTGAAGGGAATAATATTATGTATCCCATAAGCTCCATATAGTATTCAGACCACAGACATCTGTGGAGTCTACTTATGCTAAGCCCTTTTGATAAGCTGTGGAGTACAAGATGAAAAGAGAAGGGCCTTCCCTCCAGAGCTACCATATAAGGAGAGGCAGTCAACGCTGGTCCCCCTCTTCATTTACCTTCCAGGGGTCTGTCATTTTAAAGGAGCGGTGGGCAGACCCATGAGGCACATCCATGGATTCTAGGACATTGGTTCAGAAGTTTGGCCACAGAACAAGCTCTTCACCATCCACATTGGAAGGTTCCTGCCTTCCTCTCCCACGTTCTGTGAGGAAATGTGTCTGTCCCTCTGGAGCTCCTGATTTTCAAGGCTTTTCCCCTGAGCTTTGATGAAGTCCGGGGGAGCCAGCCTCAAAGGCACACTCTAGTCACCTGCGATCATTACCCAAAGCGCCTGCTGCTGACTTCAAGTCACTTCATCTTTTTAATTGCAAAAGACAACCGCTAGGGGGCCTGGGAGCTAGAGACTGAGCTCTGATTCCATTTATCAGGCAAAATGCCTTTCCTTCTTGCTGAAAAACGCACTCAAGGTCGACAAAACACACACCGTGGGCTGAGAACAATACCTTCTGCACCTTCTGCAAACCCTTAGCGAAGAACGCATCTCCCTTGAGGCTACAAAATACTCTTAACTCAGCCCATCCTCCACAGCTCATCAGGCTGGGACAAGGGTTTCTCAGCCCTGATTCTATTTTTCAGTGCTTCCTTTTGATTAAAAGCCCTTTGGCGCAGCAGGATTGTCTATAATAATAGTAAATGGCTCACATGATGATGAGGCAATCCTTTCACATCGTGAGCTACAATCCATCTTGTAAAGCCTTGCAACAGCCTGAATTACAGCCCTGGATTCTCAGCAAAGTCATGGAGTGGGGGGTTTTGCTTGATCCTCCCTCCCCTCCCAGTTTCCCTGCACCTTATGCAGAGGCTTGAATGTCTGATGTACTGTACTTACCTATGGCAATCCTCATTAAAATCAATCAATCACTTATTTNAAAAAAAAAAAAAAAGAAAGAAAGAAAGAAAGCGGAAAAAAAAGGAAGGGAGGGAGGGAGGGAGAGAAAGAAATAGAGAGAGAAAGAAAAGAAAGAAAGATGGAAAAAAGAATTTAAAAAAAAAAGGAAGAAGAAAAAAAATTCTCAGGCCCCTAGGGGCCTCCAGGGTCACAGTGACTCAAGTCCCTGTGACCAAAATTGGGTGGCAAAGCTTGTTTTTCCTTAGCAGAGCCTGCTTTTGCAAAGGTTCGTCTCTTACATTTTGTTTGAGACGCTCATGCACACTCCAGCAACAATGGAAATGAACATAATTTCCCAAGCAGGTTGCCTAGATACCACTCCTGTGTTTCTGAAACTAATTTAAACATGAAAATTCAGCTCCTGACTCACGCCAGGAATGCACGTCATAATTTTCTCAGTATTTTACTTTCTTTTTTCTCTCACATTACAAAATAATGCATGCTCATTGCAGAAAAAAAAGTGAAAGGAATATGAAAATATAGAGGTCCAGAAAGCAAAGAATCTCCTATAATCTCACTCTCAGAGACGACTGCTGTTGTCATTTGGGAATATTTTCTTCTAGGCTTTTTTTTTTCCATGCATTTTTAACATCATGGAGATTAATACAGATTTTACATTGAGATTAATACTGAATTTAATTAACATATTATCTGCATTTCTCCATCTGGTGAAATTTTCAGAAACTTGATTTTGAAAAGACTGCATTATATTTCAGTTCATTTTCCCAATATTAACCATTTTTAAATGCTAGATGTTTAGGGTTTTTTTTTTCTTTTTTTCTTTTTTTTATCCACTGGGCTCTTCCGGTAGATGTTTAGGTTATTTCTAATCTTTCATCATTATAATAAATGTTGCAATGATCAACTTAGTACAAAATACTTATTATATCTTTATTTCTTCAGGATAAAATCATAAAAGGAGTTTCAAAGAGGATAAACATTTTAAAACTGTGACCACATATAAAACTGTGATCACAGTATGTGACCACATATACTCTGATCCCAAATACTGTGTAACCATTGTGTAACAATTGCCTGCAATATTCAGTATAATAGCATACTCTACAGGTTTATAGCCTAGGAGCAAAAGGCTATGCCATTTAGATTGTGTAAATAACACTTGATGATGTTCACATGCTGACGAAATCACCTAACAATGCATTTGTCACAAAATGTCCATGTCGTTAAGTGACATGACTGAATTATTGGTCATATGACAGAAAAAACACAAAAAACAATATCTAAGTGAATATCCATTTTGAATTAAAGACAAAATAAATATATTCTTTATTTCTATAATAACAAATTGTATACAATATAATAATAAAAGACTTTTGCTCTTTTTGACAAGAGCAATGTGATTGAATATGCTTCATTATATTTAAAAATATTGGCTTAGGCCAGGCGTGGTGGCTCACGCCTGTAATCCAAGCACTTTGTAGGCCAAGGTAGGCAGATCACCTCAGGTCGGGAGTTCAAGACCAGCCTGAGCAACATGGTGAAATCCCATCTTTAAAAAAAAAAAAAATACTGGCTTAACATCTTGTATTACAGTTATTCTGGGGTCTGATTTTAAATTCAGCATATTCCAATCATCAATGTAAGGTTGGCATCACAGGAAGAGACCCCCTTACAAATATACACAGATCTAAATGAAGAAGAGTATTACTCACCATTCTTAGAATCTCGCCAACCGCTAGGTATGGTGGCTCACACCTGTAAACCCAGAACGTTGGAAGGCTGAGGTGGGTGGATCACTTGAGGTTGGGAGTTCAAGACCAGCCTGACAAACATGGAGAAACCCCATCTCTACTAAAAATACAAAAAATTAGCCAGGCATGGTAGCACATACCTGTAATCCTAGCTACTCAGGAAGCTGAAGCAGGAGAATTGCTTGAACCCAGGAGGCAGAGGTTGCGGTGAGCTGAGATCGCGCCATTGCACTCCAGCCTGGGCAACAAAAGCGAAACTCCACCTCAAAAAAAAAAAAAAAAAAAAATCTCACCAATCCAAACTGCAATATTTTGGAAATTCACCTTCACTTGTAGTATTCAGTTTATCTTTGATTTGCGGTTACCTCGTAGAAATCTTTCAAAGCTAAGTATCCACTTTATGCCCTTCAGCTTAATTAAAATTAGATAATATGTTCCGTGAATCCACTTACCCAGGCCCACATCCAAAAGTGGACTCTCAGTCTCCCACTTCAAACCTGCATCTCCCTCCGATTCTCCATCCCAGTTACCAACAACTCCAAGCTCCAGCTGCTCCGGCCAGAAAACCTGGGGCTCTCCCTTGCGTCTTTTCTTTCTCTCAACTCCACGTGGAATTAATCAGAAAATCCTAATAGCTCTACCTTCAAGACATATCCAGAACCTGAATGCCCCCTGTCCCTTTTCCTATCATCGTCCTGGTCTAAGCCACCATCTTCTCTCACCTGAATTATCACAATGACACTTGACAATGTGGCCGGTTCCTGCCCGTTCCTCTCCACGGTCTCTGCATCACAGCAGCATGTGTGGGCCCTTTAAGAGTTGTATTCTTTTTAATTTTTTTTTTTAATTTGGACAATATTTAAACTTACAGATAGTTACAAGAATAAAAATACTACAAAAAATATCCTGTTCCCTTACACCATAGCCACCTATAGTTAGCATTTTGCATGTCTTTTATCTACCCAGCTCTCTCCCTCTCCTCTCTAAATACTCTATATCATGGCCCTTTACTACTAAACACTTCGGTGTTTATTTCCGAAGAATATTCTCTTCCATAGCCATAGTACAGTTACCAACCTCAGTAAATATAACATTGATAAAGCCAGGCATGGTGGCTCACACCTGTAATCCCAGCACTTTGGGAGGCTGAGGCGAGTGGATCCATCTGAGGTCAGAAGTTCAATACCAGCCTGGCCAGCAGGGTGAAAATCTGTCTCTACTAGAAATACAAAAATTAGCTGGGTGTGGTGGTGCATGCCTGTAATCCCAGCTACTTGGGAGGCTGAGACAGGAGAATCACTTGAATCCAGGAGATGGAGGTTGCAGTGAGCCAAGATCATGCCACTGTACTTCAGCCTAGGCAACAGAGCAAGACTCTGTGTTTTAAAAAAAAATTGATATAGTAATTTAATCTAGCCTACTATCTGTTTTCTCATCTTTCAGTTGACCCAATAATGATGTCCTATATGTCATTTTTTTCCCTTTAGTATAGAACCCAGTCTAAGATCAGGGTTACATATTGTATTTAGCTGCCATGACTGTTGTCTACCTTAATTTGAACATTTTACACTCTTTGTCTTTTATGATACTGTCATTTTTGAAGAATACTAGTCCCCCCTTTTCTATTTTTAAAGAGTTGTCTCATTGGGTTTTTTGATGTTTCCCATCATTCAATTCAGGCTATGCATTCCTGGACAGAACACTAAATAAGTGATACTGTGTCCTTTTTGGAGCATCACATCTGGAGGCCCACAGGGTCCATCTGCCCCTTACTGGTGACATAAATTTTGATCACCCAATCAATGTGCTGTTGAACTTCTCCACTATAGAATTACTAAGCAATCTGTAAATAGATACTTTAAAATCATGCAAATATCCTGCTCCTCAACAAAATGTCTACTTACATTGAGCAACAATTAATGATTCTTGCCTGAGCCAATTTTTACCTGGATGGTTGCAAATGGTGATTTTCTAACTCCAGCTCACCCTCCACATTTACCAGTTAGCACTTTGCAGCATTCTACTGTAAGCGAGATCCCCCCAGCTCCTCCTTATCTATTTATTATCAGTATGCACACGTGGATTTCTATTTTTCTTCTCCTGCCTCTTTTTTTTCTGAGACAGAGTCTCCCTCTGTCACCTAGGCTGGAGTGCAGTGGCACAATCACAGCTCACTGCAGCCTCAGCCTCCCAGGCTTAAGTGACCCTCCTACCTCAGCCCCGAAAGTAGCCAGGACTACAAGCATGCGCCACCACACCTGGCTAATTTTTAAAATGTTTTATAGAGATGGGGTCTAGTGATGTAGCCCAGGCTGGAGATCCCTATTTCTGAGTAGTTCACATCCCACTGCTGTCCTTAATTACGCTGGTGTTCAAATTGTGTCCGATTCAGCCAGGGGTCGCCCCTTCACACTGGCTCCTGTGTCCTTGCTTTAAAATCAGATCATGTAACTCCTCTGCTCTGAAGCTTCTAGCCTTGCCACCTCTCCAGATGAACTGACATTTCTAGCTCTGGTTTCAGAGCACTCTCTCAAAGAAATACCATGCTACCCTAGACAGTCTTAGGATATAAGCAAGGATACACCCTGAAATGCTCTCAAGTCTAAGATCTCTGTTAAAGATAATGCAGTGCTTATGTATATACTGGCTCAATTACCAAACCCTCCCAAGGGCCAGACACTGTGCTCTGGGCGTGAGACCCAAGTCAGAAACAGTGCTGCCAGCACACAGGCTAGTTTGGAAGGCTGATGTCTAAATGGATATCATTTGTTCATTTGTCCATCGAAGTGGTTCAGAGCACATACTCCCAAGCCAGGCTGGCTGGAATAGAACCCAGTTCTCTCACTTCATAGCTGTATGACATTAACAACTTACCTAACATGGCTGTGCCTTGGTTTTCCTCAACTGCAAACTGGGGATAATTATGGAACATCTATTTCTTTTTTTTTTTTTTTGAGATGAAGTATTGCTCT